TGATGATGTCTTGCTTCGTGCAGTACTTTTTAACTGCGTTCACTACCTCCTTCTGCTGCTACTGTTAACTCACCTTTCTCGCATCGCTTTGGTATGCTTCAGGATATCGGCCATGACGTTGCGCGCCACAATCTGCGCAAACCGGCACTCCGTAAAGTGTTTGTGTTGCCTTTTGATCTTCTGCAAATTGTCCACGATAAACTGCTGAAAATTTCGTTTACGTTCTTCGAAATCCTGAATCCGAGCCTGCAGTTCAGCTCGTCGTCTCTTTGAATGTTGCATTGTGACCTGCAATCAATGAAGGTAAGAGTCCAGGAAGAATGACAGACTGAAGATCTGTATACAAAACGAGGAAGATACAGAGGAGGAGGAGGGGGAGGAGGAGATTAAGAATATGATTGGTTTTAAATAAAAGTGAACATGTGAGCCCCGGGAAATGATTGAGGAGAAGCGGATATTGTTGCTGGAGCAATTATTTTATTCATTTGACGTTTAGAAATTCCTTTGGGGATCCAATATCAGACACAATAGCAGAACATTACAATTCATACACAGGAAGTTGCAGTATTTATATGACATGATAATTAACGACTTTCTTATCGAAAATAATTGAACGCTTGTATACTAATTGATTGACATCCAGCATGCGGCTCGTGACCTGCTGAACTACCATCGCCTGTGGTGGACTTGAGCGCAATGATTGCTCGGCCATCTGGCTCCCTGACGCTGGCGTTAGACGATGCGTTGACCTGTGCGTTCCTCGAGTGGCGAATTCCAATGACCAATATGAGTCTCCGCACCGAATCTGGATTGGGCAAGTCGTTGTACTTGCTTATAAACTGAAGGCCTGTTAACCATGACTCATTAACTCGCAATTCGCACGATTGTCATCTCTTGCTAGAATTTCGGCCTCATCAAATTGGAATGTGTGGCCAGGTCTCGTAGACTGAGTCGCAAATTGAGGAGTAGCGTCATTTCTTTGGACTGTTGCCACGTGTTCGGCAATTTGCGTCATGAGAAGTATTTCCCTTTATCCGATGTAGTTGCTTTGTCCACAGATCCTATAGACGACTCCGGAAGTGTCTTGCAATGGCAGTGGGTCTTTTGATTTCATTATCTGACACCTTATGGTTGCCTGAGACCTATGCGACTTCATCTTCAGGTGGTGCGAGAAGGCGGCAGACGGCCTCCGAGACGTTCTTGACGTACAGAATCGCTCGCCGAAGTGTGGAGTCTCTGTATGAATTACCCTTTTCTGCTATTGTCTCTGTTGACGAATCCGCGACGGATTTCGAGACGTCAGGAAAATAAAATTCTTGCGGACAATTATCCCCGATATGGGGGTCGTTAATTGTCATAAGTGTGCAGTATCACCGTGATTGTATCCTATAAATACTACAAATCCCTGTGCATTGATTCCTTGTTTCTGCTACTATTTCTGCTAATGTCCCTGATGAAGTATGCGCGACATATTCCGAAACGTTAGGCGAATAAAATTCTTGTTCCAGCGATCGTATCTATTTCTTCTCGGTATGGTTATTTGTCGTACAGCCAGCGCTAAAGACCATAGTGCCGGGGTCGACACAGTTCTCTTCGACTGTTGAAAGTGATTATCTCAGGTCTGTTTATCGCTTGCTCAAGTGACACCCGGGTTAGAAGAATATGACGTGAAGTTTGTGAGTAGTATACTGAATATGCAGATTGCTATATATGTCGAAGGTCATCGTGCCACGTCCTGACCAACCGATGGGAGTCCATGTACGAAAATGGAAGGTTTGGGACCTTAGCCCAAGGGAAGCATGTCATGATGTGACCTCCCTGTTTAAGGACAGGTCGGAATCCTATTGTTCAAAAGGGCTTGATTTTCTGATACGGCCGTTTGCTATCAATCATTCACCAGAGTGCATAGTTTTATCAATCTCTTTGATTTCATAATGCTGCATATTCACCGCCCCTAACGGTTGCTACATGTTCGGCCTCCTGCGTTTGAATGAATCCCCACGTTTACGCTCTTTGTGTCCCTATCCCTTTCTTTTGCGACCGCCTCTGGTGATGGGTTCGAATAAGAAGCCAAAACGTCCGGCCAGTATATATGTTGTCCAAGCGATTGCATCTTCTTCCATAGAACATTCAGGCATTATTAGTAATATAACCTCAGTCTCAGGCTGCGCACATAAAGTCGCAATCAATGAGACGAACAAAATATCTTAATCGAAGCAGAAACTCAAAATCCTTTTTTTTCAATACAAGCGAATATACGAGTCCCAGGAAGTAATTGAGAAGAAGGAGAAGATTCGATCGCCAGGACAACACTTTTATTCGCCTGACGTTTCGACATCTGTCGCGGATTCTTCATAAGAGACATGAGCTTTCTTTGGTCTTCAAGAAAGCGAAAAACACGATGCCTAAGTCACCTGACAGTACTGACATTGTGAATTGCCCAGGCATCAACTGGAGCTCCACCTCAGCCCTGAATCAGCATTCGGCCACCAGTTCTGGCACGTCACATTTCCTACAAGAATTCGTGAGGGCCAGCGGATGAACTGCCTCGA